TTCTCAGTCTTTCCTCATTTCCCCATTGTTAAGTGGGATATTATTACTACTTATCTCACAGGATTCTGGTACAATTGGTAAATGACGGTATGAATGTTAAAAGCATTTTATCGGTTCCAATGTATCATGCTAAGAATTGTGAATAATAGTTAAAATTTTTAGTATTTTTTCTGATATTAGTATAACAAAAATATGTTGCTTAAGTAGGTTTTAAATCCTCCAGCAGCTGCTAATCCAGAATTCTGTCGCTGAGATAGATCATTGTTACAAACAGGAAGAGTAGGTTTATAAGATTTTCCCTTCTGAAGATCTAAATGGTTAATGGCACCGTGGTGTGGGAAACTATAGATGTTGCCTGAACTGACCCCTGGCTGTAGCCATGGTGTTATCACCCAGAAAGAACAAAGAAACTCAAATGCACAAATATTTGTTCCTCTTTGTAGTACAGTCAAGTACTCAAATGCCATCACTGTTCCAGCATTTTATTAATTGCTTTTTTGAGTCTGGGTTTACTATGTAGTCCAGCCTGGCTTTGCAGAGATCCTCTCACCTCAGTGGCCTGAGTGCTATAGATAGGTATGCACCTACCATGTCCTGGGTAGCATTTAAAAAACTATGCCATCATATCTGCAGCAGCAGTCAATGGTTTTCATGTGAAGTTACTTAAATAAAAATACTGTCTTCAAAACAGAGAGATTTCTTCCCAGCTGGGCTCAGCAGAGAGTGGTCCCAGGTTTCCAGTGCTTCTGGGCCTGGTCCCTGCATCTCAGCCTCATTGAGCAAAGTATCTCATAAGCCCCTCTCTAGTCAGCTGTGCACAGACAGTTGCTCTGAGTATGGCTGTGTGTGGTGACTGCACTATAAAACACTCATCAAGGTGTAAATTTATAGCAAAATGTTCAGAACACATTAAGCATATGGTTTGCCAGTTTAAAAAAACCAAGATGTTTAAAAAGAACAAATTAAACTATTTAAAACACTCCAAATAAGCTATTAAGTCCTTCAGACCATATAATCAACTCTTTCCTATCCCCATCAAGAAAAACAAACTTCACAAAGTCTACTCTATCTAATAGCTTGAAACAAAACAAAAAACATTTGTGTTGTGGTAAAAAACAAAACAAAAAACCCCAACCTATTCTTTCTGAAGAATAAAAAAAGCTACAAAAGCAAACAGTACTTCCTAGATAGAGACTAATTTCAGTTTCAAAAATTCACCAGTTGGGCATGATTTGGAGACATCTGCTTTCTCTCTTCACGTCTTACAGAAAAACTAGGGGGTAGAAGAATAACAGCTAAACCTCTTCCTCTGAGTCACAGAAGAGCTAAGAAAAGAGGCCTTAGCAATCTTTCATTTGAGGGACTGAGAAGTTAATCCTGTTGCCTCCGTCCTCATGTATGCCTCTGCTTATCAGTTTGGAACAATCATCATTATGTTGTCATAAGACTGAGAAATAGAAACTGGATTAGTATTTGAAAAAGTGTCAAGATTTCTGTTGCTCTGAACAATCCCAGAAGATACTAACTTCATTTTAATATAAAATGTACCAGATCTACATATGTGAATATAAAAATATAACAGCAGAGAAAGGATATAGTTGTAATAGACCTTATTTCCCAGTCCAATTTGAAATAAAAGATTTGAAGATCCAAAGCTACATTAATGCAAATATCTGTCTGTTCCAAGTATACTTTTTGATTAAAATGGCATACATCAAGTACAATTAGAAAGGTTATTTATAACGAAGAAATACATAATTCTGCATCTTAATGTCGATGACAATTACAGCTGATGGCTGCTAATTAACATTACTTCTTTTGCTTTGGGTGTTAGATATTTCTATATTCTTTATAGTTGACAATGGACACGACTAATTGTGGAAGACACAAAAGGGTTAACAATCAGAAATACTTGTGCTTTTAACACATTCATTTGAGAAGCACATGGTAACCTGCCCAATTCTGGCATCACACTGGAGACCAGATAACCAAGTATAATTGGTAAACTCTGACTTAGTCTCATGTCAGCAAAGGTCTATATTCAGCTTTCTTTCAGGGCCACCAGATGTTCAGAATGACAGGGGGAAAAGTGCCTCCAAACTCTCTCCAGATGGAGTGGTCTGTGCTGACAGCTCAGGAGTGAATGGTTAGCACTGGAAGCTGGAAGTAAACTGGAGAGGAAGAAGCACTGCCAGTAGCAGCCTTCAGCACAGAAGAGTGTAATGCCCTCTTTGCTTGTGCTGTAAATTACATATTTATTTTGGTAGCCTGAGATACTGTAGATTAATATTTGTACATAGAAAGGTGACTAGCTAAACCTAGGATAAGTGATATTAATGTCCTATGTTCAGTATTATTGAACTTTGAAAACAATAAACTTTTTGAGTCGATAAATATTACATTTGCAACATAGTTAACATTCCTTTACTGTCTCTAGCACTTATAACACATTGTAACTGCAAGTCTACAATACATTATTCATATTTGGGGTGTCACCAAGTGATGGATTGCTGTAGGAAATGCTGTCCTTTAAATAAATCAACAAATAAAAATGCAAATGTTAACATTTTCAGCCACAACTTTTTCCATCTTGAATGGGGAATGAAATTTTCACATTATATTGACACGCAACAGAGGGAACAATTAACAACCTATACTGCAAATGAGAAAGATGACTTTGCCATGTCAATTTTTTCACCTGTACAGAGAATGATATGGGACACTTCTAGGTGTTTTCAGAGAACAAAGGAAAACCTGTATCTCATTGGAATCTGAACTACCATACCCTTATTTTCCTTTGCAAGTCTTATTCTTAGAATTTATGGTACAAAGGAGAAAGTCTTCCTCATGTTCTTTTTTAGTACCTTCAAAGATCTGTTAAAAGAAAGAACCATAGGGTTTTCTCTTGTTTTGTTTTTTGTTGTTGTTGGTTTTTTTGGTTTTTTTTGTTTTTGGTTATTATTTAGGTGCATGAAAACTCTTAATACAAGACAAAACCCGGCCGGGTGTGGTGGTACATGCCTATAATCCCAGCACTGGGGAGGCTGAGGCAGAAGGATCGCTGTGAGTTCGAGACCAGCCTGGGCTACACAGTGAGTTCCAGGTCAGTCTCAACTACATAGTGAGACCCTGTCTCAAAAAAAAAAAAAAAAGAAAAGAAACAAACCCAAAATAAATAAATAAATAAATAAATTCTACAAAGTGACACGGTCCATTCAGAAAATTTGCCCTGAGGATGTTTTACAAAAACCCTATGGAGAAACATTTTATTCCTTTTCATGCTTCTCTCTAAACTGAAATGCAACCACTAGAAACATATTACAGTGATATTAAAGATCTCATTTTAATATTCAACAATAGGAAAATTCACTGAGATTGAAAAATCCAGATCATTGCCCATTTTTGCCTCTAACTCCTCCAAACAAATCCCTCAGTGTAAGCCAGATGGACACTCTCTGAGCACAACTTTCAACCACAATGTTAAACAGTCCAAAAGGAGTACCATCAATATTTCAGAATCATGTCTTGGGTGTGGTGGTATATGCCTATAATCCCAGTCCTCAGGAGGCTGAGGCAGTAGGATTGTTGTGAGTTTGAAGCCAACCTGGGCTACGTGGTGAGTTCAAGGCCAGCCTAAACTACAGAGTGAGAGCCTGTCTCAGAAACAAAACAAAACAAAAATCAAATGAAACCAAAAAAAAAGAAAAGAAAATCAGAATCACAACTCATTGTAGGTCTTTGGCAAATGTCAACAATGCTAGCATTAAAAAGGAAAGAACAACAAACAAAGTAAATAGCAAACTAGTTTAATTTCCTTTTGATTGTGGTTGATGACTACAACAGGGAGGTTGTCATTATTATTATTATTGTTATTATTATTAAATTGTTTAAGATTATGGCTTTGGAGTCTGCTAGGTAACCTTAGATAAGTCATTCAATTGCTTTGAGCTTTAGTTTCCTAGCTTTTAAAATCGGGGTGATAGTAGTCCCATCTCATTAAATTATGAAGATTAAGTCATAATGTATTAAGGGACTCAGCTCACCGCTGGGCTCAGAGTAGAGTACTTAATTAGCTGCAGACTATCCTCTGTTCTCAAGTTCTCCATGATGCTTACCCTTCTGGCTCCAGAATTAAAGGCTTGTCAATAAGAGACATGATTTCAATGCACACTGGTTCTTAGTGATTTCTAGGCTTGGCTTCTGTGGGACAGTATTTCTATTGAACTTGGAAATGACACTAGAAGAGTCTTTACAAGTGTTAAGGCTTCTCTCCTTTTGAAATGACTACCAAAAGAACACGTTTCACAGTATATAGTACTTTGGAAATTATCAGCCTTGAGACCAACACTGTAAGCATTTTTACTTTCCAAGTCTAGTGGACTCTGAGTTAACTACAAATTAAGTCTTAAAACCTATATTCATTTGATAAGATGCTAGGAACTTCAAGTGTCCCAAACTAATCACATCCTCAAAGAAACATAAACCGAACTCTTTTGGTACTGATATTTATATATTGAGCCTTTAATGTGTAATATAGAGTTGGCTTACTGGACTATGAGAAATTTTAAATTATGCATTTCTTTTCTTGACTCTAGAAATGGCTGATCAAATGATTAACCTTTCTAATATCTTTGCTATAAGTAACCTGATGTACATTAGTACAAAAGCCACTATAAGTTTTCAAAATTAATTTATTTAGTTAAACTTACAATTCAAATGCATAACCATTTCAAGATAAATTAGGCAGACTTTCTGATGAAAGGTAGCATCAGCTGTGAGGTTTAATGGAAATCCTTGCCAACTGTCATGATCAATTAAGCAAGTACATATAGAGAGAAAGAACTCCATGTGGTTTAACCTGGCCAAATTTATATGCCTCAAGATAAGAAACTTTCTTTTCAGTAAGAATTGTCAGTATTTTTCCGATTCTTATTTTAATAAAACATCTCAGAAAATGCTCTTATATGGAGAATAGTAAATCAAGTATCCTGACAGCTTACCGGGGGGTGCTGTATTGGAATGATGATGAGGCCTTGGTTATGAGCTTCTTTTGGCTTCCTACTGGAATAGGTGATGTAGATGCATCTTTTCTGACTTCTGGCACTGTCCCTGGATAAACAGTAAAGGAAATAATTTGGGCACTCAGTAAGAGGAAATAAAAAGTCCACTATAGATATCCTCCAAATTCAGACAGGCCATTTTTTCATCCCCTAAAATGGAAAAATGACAGATAAAAAATTCAGTAAGTGGTTTTGGTTTGGTAAACAGTTAGCATTGCCTTATATATATGTGTGTGTATGTGTTTTAAGTACATTTGTGCAATAATTAACTAGAGATTTTGTTTATAAACCAAATAGTCTGTCATATTCCTGATGATTTGGGTTTATGTTAAAAATGTCCCAGAAAGTAGGTTGTTTTATTTTCTTTCCTTTGACGATGGTAAGATCTTTCTTCTTGACAAAATAGAAAATTCTAGCACTTTGTATCTGCAAAATAATCCTTTTAAGAAGTTTTCACAGTAGATATAAATCTTGACATTTTCTTTTAAAGAACTCTAATTAGGTCTTAACTGAAAAAGATGCTCAACTAACTACTTACTCTACAGTTCCAGGCAGACTCCTAAACAATAGTTTATCTTACATAGCATCAAGATTTCAAATCAGATTCCAAATCAGTATATTGGCTGATTTAGACCCTGCTCCTCCTAACAAGCAAAATGTACTTGAAAATTACTTATTTCTTCCAAAATGCTGCATAAAAAGATGATATTTACAGATTTTTTGCTTGATTTTCTATTAAATATTTTTCAAACAACACAACATATCCTTGTCTTTGTCTTGAAGGACCGTAAGAATCTCATTTGGTTTTCTTCTAGTTCTTGGAGAACTGGTGCCCACAAAGTTATTTGAGAGGATCCAATCTTTCTTTAAGGAACAAATATTCACATTACACAAAGATATCTTTGGAGTGTTGGGAATAGCAGATCTAAAAATGCCAAGATGGTATATTAACTGTGCAAATGCCAACAGTTTTGGTGTGACCAGAGAAAATAAGGGCTAGAAAAGTCTTATATCACCAGGGATTAGTATCAAAATGGTCATCATGACCAGGTACACTGGTACATGCCTAGAATTCCAGCTACTCAGGATGCTGAGGCAGAAGGATCACAAGTTTGAGGCCATCATGCAATTTAGGAAGACCCTATCTCAAAACAAAATAAAAAAATGGATGTAGCTCAGTGTAAAGGCCCTGGGTTTAATCTTCAATATCGCAAAAAGGGCTGGGCCAACAGCCCAGTGGTTGAGAGCTCAATGAGTTAAATCTCCTTTACAGAAACAGACAACAATAATAAAACACAAAATACAAGAACAATAAAACCTATTGCCCTTGGCATTTGTTATTCAAAAGTTATACTCTTAATATCAACTATTCCCTAATATTGCATAGATGTAAAAGACCATTTGCCTAATTGTACAAATCAGTTGTCTCTGTATTCAAGTACCTGTGGGACCCTCCATCCAAGCCAGTACATACTCATATTAGACATAACTCCATGAGACTTTAGAGTGCGGTCAGTCAATAAATATCTATTGAGTACTTATGATGGGACTGATTAAACTAAACTTTGTTTATAGAGGAAGGGAAGACAGGTGTGAGAGTGAGGAAATGAGATACTCTTAACAGTTCTGTAAAGAAACACAGCTCCAGGCAGTATAAAGTAATAATAATTGCAAACACATATAGTATGCTCAGGACATGTCAGGCACTATTCCAGACCTTTTCCATACCTTGGTACTTGACTGTTCTGAAACTCACTGAATTTGGTACTTCAAACATCTTGAAATGAAAACTTTGCCCTGTACTTTTCATTTGTTTGGTACGTGATGTGCAAGGTAGAACTTGCTGGTGTTGATTGCCTCATGACTTGCTACCCTCAACAGCCAAAAAAATTTGTTTGGTACTCATTGTTTTTGGTATCCATTGCACCTCCCAGAACAAATTACCAATGAGTACCAAGGTACCACAGTGTCCATCCACCCACTCATCCATCCATCTTAACAGTTTCCATTGGTATAATGTGAACACCACTTCTCCAAATTAATTTTATCCTCATATCCTTTGCTACAAATAATATTTTTATATCAAACTTACAGATAAGGAAAATAAAAGACAGGGAATTTATGTGACCTGGCAAGGGTCAAAAGTTAGTAAGTAATGCACTCAGCATCCATGTTTAGGAAATCAATGGAGAGTTTTCATCGTTACACTATTCTGTTATAATAATATGAAAAATATGAGGAGTTAAGAAGTGGGAGAGATTACATCTGCCATAGGATTAGGAAGTTTTGATATAGGAGGTAGAATTTTAATAGGAAAAAATAAGCACAGAATTTGAATCAGACACATTAGCAAGAGCATTCAATTAAAATCCTTAAGGCTAACTATTCAATTTATTCAGAAATATTTATTGAGTATCAGTATGTCCTTACACATTGCTAATGACTTTAAATGTATTATCTCATTAATCCATGAACAGACTTTACATTATTGTCTTCATCTTATAGGAAAGGAAGTGAAAACTGTAAAAGATTAAGCAGCATGTTAAACATCACACAGTAAGGAAAAAGCTGAGTTTAAAATGTATCACAGATTTTTAACCATTATGCTCTCAAAAATAAAACAGCAACAACAAGAAAAAAAGCCAAACTAGTCTTTACAGGGATTGATCTGTGGCTTAGAACACAGTGGAATGGACAAAATGGAGGAAGATACAGAAGTCCACTACTAGTGTCACTGTCTGGGCAGAATCCTAGGTGATCTAGGGGAAACATTTGAGGCTCAGGTGAGAGAAAGAAATGTTTGGTAGTGAAGAAAATAAATAACTTTCCAGTGCTAGATCAGTCAATTTTCCACTGCTGGACACAATACCCAACACTCACAACCTAAAGGAGAAATGGTTTTGTTATGGCACTCAGAGGGCAGGCAAACCAAGGAAGAGAGCAACATTCAGAGAATTGAAGGGAAAAGGCAGATTTATTCCCTAGCGAGCCCAGTAGAAGTCAGCTTCCAGAGTCTGAGCCTTGATTCTAAGTTTATTTTCATTTTTATCTTGTTCTTTAGACAGGGTGGGCAAGCAAGCCGAATGATACAGAAGCAGGACTTAGCACAGGGATAGGGGCATATGGGTGCTTTTTCAGTTTATCTTTAAGACACAGGGAGGTACAGGTAGATGTTGTCTTAGAAGTTCATCTTTCGGGCACAGTGACCTTCATACGTTTAGCAGGTGAGGCAAGCTGTGAGACATTAGCCTTGAGACTGTCAGTCTCTGTCAAGCTTTTTTTAAAAAAATTTTATTATTTATTTATTTATTTATTTTTCTCATTGAGTTTATTGGTACATTTTAGGTATACAGTACAGTTACATTCATTATTGGGATCTTGTACCTTTACATCACAGGTCTTGGTTCTCATTTTTTCCTCTTGTCCCTGCCCTTTGAGACTGTTGGTCTCTGCTTTGTCTTGTTTTTTCCAGTTTAATTTGGCTCATGGTTTGGGGATGATTCAGACCATAGTCAACAAGCACAAGGCAGGTGCAGGAAGGGATAACAGAACAAAGCAATCCCAGAAAGGAATAGTACTCAAGGTCATGCCTCTTTGTCCCATCCAAACATACCCAGAAGGGTGTTCTACTAATGGACTAGGCTGTTTCTTAGTCCAATGAAGTAAGACCACAGTCACTATCACAGAAGATCTGAACATTTATCTTACTTTTTCCTGTTTTGATACTTCTTTTCAAAGTTGGTTAAGACAACTGACCTTTTTTTTTTTTTTTTTTTTTGGTACCGGGGATCAAACTCAGGTCCTGCACTTGCGATGCAGACCACTGAAGGACAACTGACATTTGATGGGAGCTAACTGTGTGTCTGTGCGTGTGTGTGTCTGTCTATCTATCTATCCATCCATCCATCCATTTTGTTTTTCTGAGATATCCCTATGTAGTTCTGGCTGGCCTTGAACTCATGCAATCCTCCAACCTCAGTCTCCCAAGTGCTGGGATTATAGGTATGTGTCACAATGCCTTACTTTGATGAGGGTAATTTAAGGAAGGAACTTTATTTTGTTTTATTTTGGCTTTTTGAGACAGGGTCTTGCTATATAGTTTGGGTTGGCCTTGAATTTGCTATGTAGTCCAGGCTGGCCTCCAACTTGTAGTGATCCTCCTGCCTTAGCCTCCCAAATATTGGGATTACAGGGATACACTACCGTACCCATCAAGGAAGGAATTTTAATAGATTCCAGGGACTTTTATAATTTATGGTATAATTCAGGAATGTGTGAAGCACGCCTCCCTAGTCACATCTTACCTGTTCTTGCCTCCAGGAGCCAGGCACTATTCTGTATTTCCATCCTAATATTTAGAAATATATATATATATATATAGTTTTCAACACTGGAGATTGAACCCAGAGCCTTACATTGAGCTATGTGTCCAGCCCTCAATTATTTATTATGCTCTGACACAGGTCTTGCTAAGTTGCACCACTGAATTATCCAGGCTGGGCTCAAACTTGTAAATCTCCGGCAAGAGTAGTGGGATTACAGGCATGCACCACCACTCCTGACAGCTATATATTTGATTAAAAATGTGATTTACTCTTGATTCTTTTACATTTTATAAATATACACATATAATTTTTTTTTTCAGTACTGGGGATTGAACACAGGGCCTTCACATTGAGCTTACATCTCTTAAAAAAAAAATGTTTCTTTTTAAATTTTGAGACAAGAGTCTAGTTAAGTTGCTCAATTGCTCAGACTGGGCTTAACATGTTCACGACGGGGCCATAATGAGTCTATCTTGTTGCTGGGTGGCTTGAACTACCAGTGGTACATGCATGCCTATCCCATGTATGACTGCACCACTTCTACCACCAGAGGTAAAAACCACCCAATGTGATACTCATGCATGTACCACCAGTGGTTCAAACTGGTGAGAATGTGTTAAACTCTCAGGAATTACACGTATGCACTTCAGTACTAGGTAAATATAAAATGTCTTTTAAGACTTCTTTTGCTCAATACTGTGTCTGTAAAGTTTACCTGTATTGA